TCCTATACTGTTGGTGGGAATATAAGTTGGTGCAACCACTATGCAAAACAGTATGGAGGTTCCTCAGAAAATTAAACACAGACTTATCTTATGTTCCAGCAAACCCACTCCTGTGCATACATCCAGAGATAACTCTAATTCAAAAAGATACACATACGCCAATGTTCAAAGCAGCACTATTCACAATAGCTAAGACAGGGATACAACTTAAATGTCCATCAACAGATGAATGGGTAAAGAAGATATAGTACATATATACAATGGAATATTATTCGGCCATAAAGAAACAAACAAAATAATGGCATTTGCAGCAACGTGGATGCAACTAGAGAATATCATGCTAAGTGAAGTCAGAAAGAGAAAGACCATATGACATCATTTATATGTGGAATCTGAAAATGGCAAAAATGAACCCATCTATAAAACAGAAATAGAATCACAGACATAGAGATCAGATTTGTGATTGCTAAGGGGGAGGGGAGAAGAGGGATGGACTGAGTGAGGAGTTTGGGGTTAGCAGATGCAAACTATTATACATAGAATGGATAAATAACAAGGTCCTACTGTATAGCACAGGGAACTATATCCAGTCTCCTGGGATATACCATAATGAAAAAGAATATTTAAAAACATGTATGTGGTAGTGGTTGGTGGTTTAGTCACTAAGTGATGTCCGACTCTTGCAACCCCATGGACCATAGCCTGCCAGGCTCCTCTGTCAATGGGATTCTCCAGGCAAGAATATTGGAGTGGGTAGCTATTTCCTTCTCCAGGGGATCTTTCCAACCCAGGAATCAAACCCAGGTCTCCTGCATTGCAGGTAGGTTAAGATTCTTAACCTACTGAGCTACAAGGGAAGCACTCCCCACCCCCCCCCGACAAAAATGTATGTATGTGTATAACTGAGTCACTTTGCTGAACAGCAGAGATCGGCACATTAGAAATAAACTATATTTCAATTTTTTTAAATGTTAAAAATAAATGATTGAAATCAAGATCTTGAAAGCATAGCTGTACCCCCATATTCACTGCAGCACTGTTTGCAATACTTAATGATGATACAGAAACAACTGAAATGTCCATGGACAGGTGAATAGATACAGAAAATGTGGTATAAACATACAATATTATTCAACCTTAAAAAAGAAGGAAATGATACCATTTGCAACAACGTGGAAGACATGCTAAGTGAAGTCAGTCAGTCACAAAAGGGCAAATACTGCATGACTCCTCTTACATGAAGCATCTAAAATCAAACTTACAGAAGCAGACAACAGATTGGAGACTGCCAAGGTCACGGGGGAAGGGAAAATGGGGACCTGTTGTTTAACGCGTATTAAGTTTTCAGTTATACAAAGTGAGTAAGTTCAAAACATACCTGTGCATTGTAGTACATGTGGTTAACAATTCCGTATTGTACACCTTGGAATTTGTTAAGAGGGTACATCTTATGTTCAGTGTTCTTATCATAAAAAAGAACACAAGGAAAGTTTAGAGGCGATGGGTATGTTTATTACCTTGATTATGATGGCTTCATGGGTGTTATTTTATAATAATACCTGTCTCCACAGTAGGTATTATTATGCCCAGTTCATTGCTAAAGAGACTGAGGGCCATACGACACTGAGTTAGGTAAGTCTCTCAGGGCTACCCGGGAAATAAATGGTGTTTTATTTTATTATTATTCTATTTATTATTATCATTGTTTTTTTTTTTTTTGCCACATGGCATGTGGGATCTTACTTCCCCCACCAGGGATTGACTCGTGCCCCTGCACTTGAAGTGCTGAGTCTTAGCCAATATCCATTAGGAATCAGTCCCCATTCCCCCCCCTTGACAATCTAATCTTTGTCTCTATTTCCATAGGATTTTTATATCTCCCTAATGTGCCCACATAATTCAATTTTTAAGAAATCAATTTACAGAACTTTTCAAGAACACAATGCTGTATAGCTACCGATGGAACAATTAACTTGAATAATTCATTTGAAAACATCAGAGTACAAACCTAGATCTTTTTCCCCTAAATCACTTATTTTCTTGAACTTTATTCCTCAGGAATTATAATCACTAACTGCAAATCATTTCTGTTTGAATTCTCTTTGGCAAGAATCCAAAGTTTTACTTTTAGAAAATGTCCTTATTGGATTTAACATTAGGCACTTGATTAAAAAATAAAATGACAAAAAAGAAAATGTTTCAGATTGTTTTCCTGATCTAAGACACTTCACCTAGATAGGGAACTGATGTGTATCTTGATTCCGAAGTAGAAGGTGAACTCTCTCAGAAGGACGGTCAAGGCACTCATTCCCTACTTCATGCTTGCCCTATACACTGCATGGGTGCTTTGTATTTTATTATAGGTCCCAATCATAGGTATGAAATCAGAAAGAAAAACCTAAATTTGTTTTCCAATTTGGAAGAGAACGGTTAAAAATGCTCACTTTACAAGTCACTTTAGTATCTCCATTCATACTTGGTGTTCCATACCTAATGATTCCAAGAAAACCATAGAAGAAGCACAGTGCCTGCTCTACAAAATTTTATTAGCTTTCCACTATGATGTCCCAAGATAAGAGTTAGGAATTATGGGAAGCCAAATCTACAAAGAACCTTGAAGCCTATCTAGTCCAACCAGTTCTTATTTTCTCAATCTGAAACATGATTAAGTTGGAGTTGCCCAAGCAAATTAGGAAAAAACTGCTATTCAGTCTGGGGCCCCACTCATTAAATTAGCAAATGTACCCCTTAACATTGTATGCAAACATTCAAATGAATAATGCAGAAAAACATTCTGTACAGTTATATTTACCCACAACTTTTCAGGAATAGTTAATAAAACAGAGTTGTTGTTTATCACTAAGTCATGTCCAACTCTGCAACCCCATGGACTGTAGCCCACCAGGCTCCTCTCTCCATGGGATTCTCCAGGCAAGAATACTGGAGTAGGTTGCCATGCACTCCTCCAGTGCATCTTCCTGACCAAGGGATGGAACCCTCATCTCCTAAATTGCAGCCGGATACTTTACCACTGAGCCACCTGGGAAGCCCAATAAAACGAGTATACGAATACTGAAACAAAAGTTGTTAGAAGGGGAACAAACCGAATATGAGCTTCAGGCATTTAATCCTTCAAAACCCTGTGAGGCTGGCAGAGCTATCACTATCCTTTCACAGCTCAGAGAACAGACTCAGAAAGACTAAATAATTAAGCTAAGGGCTCACAACTGGTTAAAAAAAAAAAAAGGCTCTCAGTTGCTAGCATATTCTGATGTCATACAGCCTTTGGCAAGATTTAATTTAATGGCATATTCAACATAAACACACTATTATTCTCTGACCTTCATTTCCATGGCTGACCTGATTTCATCACATTTTTATATTTTTAAACCAATTTCCAAAGTGACCTTCCTTTGAAGTGTACCAGCTGACAGCTGGATGCATCTTTTCCTTTCATTTTCATATCCCTCACCACTTACTCCCAAGAATGACAAATGACAGATCTTTATCAACACTTTTTGCATAATAAAATTTCAAGCTCTGTAATTGCAAAAATTAACCCCACAGAATTCCCTTAAGTAAACTGGTTGCTTCAGAATAACTTAATCAATCAATAGTGTCATGAAAATAAAATACAAGTCTCATAGGCACCACATGAGGAATTGGGTGACCAAAACTATGGGCTACTCCAGTTTAAAAATAACAGGAAGGCTGAAAAAGATCTTGGACTAGGAGTTTAGATTCTTGGGTTCCAGTTCTGGTTCCGCCACTTACAAGTGATAAAAGAGGACCTAATTTCTTGGGACGTGTTTCACTTTCAGTAAAACAGAGAATATAACTGTTGATCTATCTTGTACATAAGATTGTTCTGATGGGCAACGAAGATAATTGTGCAGATTTTAAAACAAGGTGTTAAACAGCACAGATATTATTTTATAGGTGGAAAAGGGGAAGCACAGAGAGGCTAAATAACTTGAAAACCTCACACAGCCAGGGGAATGACAGAGCCAAAGGCTGAAACTCATGAGATTTTCAGTCTTGAGCTTTTCCAATCCACCTGTCGCCTTTTCTGTAACGTTTCTGCTCAATGACCTTTGCACATTGTTACTTAACACTGTTTGTGTGCCACCTCAATAAAGCTACCCTAGTGTCCTTTGGACAGAGAAGGCAATGGCACCCCACTCCAGTACTCTTGCCTGGAAAATCCCATGGACGGAGGAGCCTGGTAGGCTGCAGTCCATGGGGTCTCTGAGTCGGACACGACTAAAGCGACTTAGCAGCAGCAGCAGTGTCCTTTGGGAAAGTGTCATAACCATTCTTAATTTATAGTTTTACGCCTCAAATTGCAAGCTTCCTAATTTATTTAATAGTATCTTAATGCTGGAAAGTCTGCGTCCGGTCAATTAGACCACTTTCTGTCTAAGAATTCATTCTACTACATCCCCAAGAGGTATGCTGGGCGAAGTATCATAACCATCTCTAAGGCCAATAAAACAAATGTTTTGCAGCCTACTTTAATACAACTGAAACTTTCTTTGCAGCGTAAACCAAGTCAGGCTGCTTTTTAAGTCCAAGCTTTGCTCAAGTCATACAAGAGGCATTAGCAGGATCGAGAAGAGCTGGGGGAAATCTTGGCTTCTGCCACAAGCTCCTTTCTACCTTGGGGGGTAGGAAACTCTACAGGCTTCAATCTTCCAGGGTATGAAACGGGGGGTGACGACAGCAAACACCCCGAGGGTTCCCCTCGAGGGATGCTGAGAAACTGTTGGGCAGGAGAGCTGACGGTGCATAGGATGACGGATCAGCCAATTCAGAGAGGTCCCAGGTAGTGCAGAGCAGACCCGGGGGCAGGCGGTTCCATCTCGGCCCGCGCGCGCCTCGGGGAGGGAACGGCAACAAGACGGGGCGGGGCGGGGGCTGAGGGGGCGGGGGACAGGGCTGCGGGGCTCGGGGGCGCCCCTCCTCCCGCTTCTTTTGTGCGACCGGCGGGGGTCACTCACCGGGCCAGGAGCTCTAGGAAGATCACGTTACTGCAGCAGCCTGCGAAAACCAGGCCCACCGCGAAGGCCGGGCGCATGGCCAGGACAGGGGAAGCGGAGCGAGAGCGCAGAGGAAGCGCCCAACTAGACCACTACCCCAGGAAGCCCGGCTACCGCCTCGTCGCGGCACTGAACATCACCACCGTCCTGGAGCGCCGCTTTCCCGGGGTCGTGACGGTCTCCCTTTTCCCAGCGGCTGCCACCAACGCTGCCGGTCAAGGAGCTGTAGTTCGCTGTCAACCGGAGCCCCATTCATACGAGGGGGCGTCCGAGTCCAGGCTAGACTACACTGCCCAGAATGGCGCGCGCCCGTACGTCAGGCTGCGACGTACTCCACTTCTGCCGGGCAGCTCAATCGGAGAGAAAGGCGAGGTACCCGTCATGCCTCGCGCCGTAGCGAGCCGCGAAGCCTTCTGGGAAGTGAAGTTCCAATGCTGTCAATGTTGTTTCCCTTGAGGCAGCCAAAGGCTACGAAAGGGATTCGTCCATCATTTTCAGGGCAAACTCACAGCTGAGGGCACTAGATTAACACACCTGTGATTGATAAATAGAAGTGTTCTAGGATCTGACAATTCTCCTTGAATTGGGAGAAAGTGCAAATTTTCTGAACTTCCTTCTCTACCTTTTGAGAAGAACTCTGGACTCAGGGAGTTGGTGATGAAAGGGAGGCCTGGCGTGCTGCTGTCCATGGGGTCGCTAAGAGTCGGACACGACTGAGCGACTGAACTGAACTTGGACTCAGCAAGTTCTAGTACTCAGTCTTGGCTCAGCCACTTATCAGCTCAGCTAAGACAACCGGTTTCTTATTATAGGTGAAGATGGGAGCAGTAATGCCCATCTTGCTTCCCTGGTGACTTAGATGGTAAAGAATCCGCCTGCAATACGGGAGACCTGGCTTCGATCCCTGGTTCGGGAAGATCCTCTGGAAGAAGGCATGACAAACCACTCCAGTATTCTTGCCTGGAGAATCCCCATGGACGGAGGAGCCTGGTGGGCTACTGTCCAGGTCACCAAGAATTGAACACGACTGAAGCGACTAAGCACAGAACACCGCAATGCCCATCTTACCTGGTGGTTGTGAGAATTAAAAGCTATGATCATCTGGGGATCTTGTGAAAGTGCAGATCCTGAGGTTCTGCATTTCCAGCAAGTTCCCAGGTGCTGGTGATGCTACAGATCCATCCACCACACTTTGAAGTGTGTGTGCTGTTGTTCAGGCGTGTCCAACTCTTTGCAACCCCACAGACTAGCCTGCAAGGCTCCTCTGTCTATGGGATGTCCCCCCCACCCCCGCCCGGACCCCAGCCAGATGCCTATTAAATAGTTGACTCTGAAGACCTTTTTATCCCATCCCTCCCATTGGCTCAGGGATTTAGTACCCCTTGTGGCTCAGCTGGTAAAGAATCCACCTGCAGTGCAGGAGACCTGGTTCAGTCCCTGGGTTGGGAAGATCTCCTGGAGAAGGGAAAGGCTACCCACTCCAGTATTCTGGCCTGGAGAACTCCATGGACTGTATAGGCCATGGGTTGCAAAGAGTCAGACATGACTGAGTGACTTTCACTTTCAGGCAGCCAGCCAGGCTCCTTTTTCCCCCATGGCCTACAATCATGCTTAAATAAACTACCTTGTCTTTCTCCTTCACTTTAACACCAAATATCTTTAAAGAGTAATCTACATTCATTGTTTCTTCATTTTACTCTGACCAAAGCCAGCCTATTGAAAGCAGTCTCATTTAAGAAACCTGCTGCTGCTGCTGTTACTGCTAAGTCGCATCAGTCGTGGCAGACTCTGTGCGACCCCATAGACGGCAGCCCACCAGGCTCTGCCGTCCCTGGGATTCTCCAGGCAAGAACGCTGGAGTGGGCTGCCATTTCCTTCTCCAATGCATGAAAATTAAAAGTGAAAGTGAAGTCGCTCAGTTGTGTCTGACTCTTCGTGACCCCATGGACTGCAGCGTGCCAGGCTCCTCTGCCCATGGGATTTTCCACGCAAGAGTACTGGAGTGCCATTGTCTTCTCCATTAAGATACCTAGTGACTGCTTAATTGTAAAAACTAAATACCACAAGACTCACCTTACTCGATCTTGCAATGACTTTTGATAATGAGAGCTCAATGCTCTTGATATTCTCTTGTCCTTCTGCCTGTATGACATGAATTTTCTACTTCTCTGACTTAATCTTTTTTCAGTTTTTATTTGGTTTTTTCCTGCTCTGTCCACTGAATTCTCCTAACAAACCTCCACTGTCTGTCCCTCCTCCTGCTGCTGTGTATACTTTCTATTGATGACCTCGCCTCCATAACTTCAGCCATCACTGTTTGTAACTGAGATGGTACATGAATATACACCTGCAGCCCCAATCTCCTGTGTGCCTTAAAGTTTCCAATTGCTTATCAGACATTTTCACTAATGAATCCTTGTAACCCCCTCAACATCAACATATGCACAGTTCATTATCTACCCTCTCAAATAGGGCCCTTATTTCTATTAAGGACATTATCCACCACCTGTTCTCTTTGGGCAAAACCCTGAAAGATATTCACAGTCTTCTTTTCACAACACTTCTGCCTCACAAGTATCTCTAGATTCCAGCCTCTCCTTTCAGTTTACATCCATGCCCACTTCCCCTCCTAACACATTCTTGGTAGCTTTAGCCCACCCTCCATGCTATCTCCACACTGTTTCCAAAAATAGACTCTTTATGTCACAGTGCTATTCCAACAAGTCTTCCAATTGCTACTACTGTGTAACAAACCACCCCAAAATATGGCAATTGAAAACGTAGAATAGGGCTTCCCTGGTGGTCCAGTGGTTAAGAATCCGCCTGCCAATACAGGAGACATGGGTTCGATCCCTGGTCTGGGAAGATCCCACATGCCATGGAGCAGCTAAGCCTGTGCAACCCAACTACTGAAGCCTGAGCAGCCTAGAGCCCATGCTCCACAATGAGAGAAGCCGAGAAGCCACAATAAGCCCACATGCCAGAAGTGGAGAGTAGCCCCCGCTTGCCACAACTACAGAAAGCCTGTGTGCAAAGCAACGAAGACCCAGTGCAGCCAAAATAAATAAATATTTAGAAAAGATAGCATAGAACAAATAGATTTTCTCTCACTCACAGTTCTGTATGTTGACAACGTCCGACACATGGCTAGTCCGTTCTCCACTGGGGTTTTGGATGCAGTTGTGGCCAGATGTCAGATGAGGCTGGAGTCATCCGAAGTCTTGACTGGGCTGGTGAACGGTCTCTCCTCATGGCCTCTCTTAGGCTATGCTTCCTCACAATAAGGTGAACTCAGAATAGCCAGACTTCCCACAAGACAACTAGCTCCCCCTAGAACAAGCATTCCAAGATATCAAGTCAGAAGCTGAAGTGGCCTCAGATATCACTTGCATCAAATTCTATTGGTTCCACTGGCCAAGAATGATTCTCAGATTCATTCTGAGAAGGGACTAGCAAAAGCATCAGCTACATGTGGGTAGAGAGGCATCCTCGAAGACTAATTATACATTGTTTCTTGGCTCCTTGTGTGAAATTCACACTCTGTAGAAGGCATACAGATGTGTCACCATCAAGCCTCGGTTTACATTTGGAATTTCCTCTCCTGCCATTCTTTCCAGTACTACCTGGATTCCTGCCACATTAAACACTCTGTTCTCTGAGTTTATGGAGACTCAAAATTCACATCTCCACATGCTGTTTGGCCTGCTCAGAACACCCTTTTCACTTTAGCCAACTCCTGCTCATCCCTTTATGGCAATGAAGGACGGAGGAGTGAGCAGATACTTCTACAGCGTGCGGGGGGGAGTCCGCTGCTGGAATGTCACCTGTGTGTAGTTTTCAGTGCGCCATTCACAGCTTCCTCCTCTATGTCTCTAGCACCCCATACATCCCTGCACCAACCTATGAATCATGTTACCCTGTAGTTTCCATGTTCATGTCAGACTCCTCCTTTAAACTATGCCCCTTTATGAACAGGAACCATAATAACTAATTCATCTCTAGATCCTTAGCACTATAGGCAGTGACTGGTATATGATAGGTACATACATTTTTTGTTGAACGAATGAGTTTGACTTCATTGGGAAGTGAAAGTCATTCAGTTATGTCCGACTCTTTGTGATCCCATGGACTATACAGTCCATGGAATTCTCCAGGCCAGAATACTGGTGTGGGTAGCCTTTCCCTTCTCCAGGGGATCTCCCCAACCCAGGGATCAAACCCAGGTCTCCCACATTGCAGGTGGATTCTTTTTTTTTGCAGGTGGATTCTTTATCAGGTGAGTCACAAGAGAAGCCCAAGGATACTGGAGTGGGTAGCCTATCCCTTCTCCAGTGGATCTTCCCGACCCAGGAATCAAACTGGGGTCTCCTGCATTGCAGGCAGATTCTTTATCAACTGAGCTATCGTTATTTGAGTCAAATAAATCACACTTTATAATTTCAATAGCTACATAATACTTTTCAGCTTGAATCATTTCTAAAATATAAACGTCAAAAATGCACTGCTCAATAAATTTGCATAAACAATGATATATAACCAATACCCTGGCCAGGAAACAGAACATTACCAGTACCCCCAAGATCCCTGTGCCTCCTTTGAATCATTAGTCCCCTCCAGGCATAACCACATTTCTTACTTTCTAGCACCAGAGATTAGTTTTGCCTGGTTTTGTACTTGACATAAATGGAATCATACAGAATATTTTCTTCTGTTTCTGCTTCTTTCACCTAACATTGCTTGTCAGTTCATCTGTGTCATTGCATGTATTTGTGGTTCATTTACTCTCATTGATGGACAACATTCCCTTGTATTAATGTACTACAATTTCTTGGTGATGGACATTTTGGTCACTATGAAAAGTGCAACTATGAAATCTCTTATACATAACTTTTGGTGAACATAAACACACAGTTCTGTTGGGTATCAGTGAATTAATCAAGGTTGTTAATCAAGAAACAGAAATCATACTCTAACGAACAAGAAAGGTTTAATATAAAAAAGTATTAACTAGTAAAAGATGATTCATTACTGTAAGGGG